GGGAATCTGGAGATGGGAATGGGAATCTGGAGATGGGAATGGGAATCTGGAAATGGGAATCTGGAAATGGGAATGGGAATCTGGAAATGGGGAATCTGGGAATGGGAATCTGGAGATGGGAATGGGAATCTGGAAATGGGAATGGGAATCTGGAGATGGGAATGGGAATCTGGACCTGGGAATGGGAATCTGGAAATGGGAATGGGAACCTGGAAATGGGAATGGGGAATCTGGAGATGGGAATGGGAATCTGGAAATGGGAATGGGGAATCTGGAAATGGGAATGGGAATCTGGAGATGGGAATGGGGAATCTGGAAATGGGAATGGGAATCTGGAGAGGGGAATGGGAATCTGGACCTGGGCTTTTTGAAGAAGCAGCTGCCTCAATGAACAGGAATAAAAAATACCAGGAATAAAAGTTCCATAAACAATTCCCGCCCCGCTGAAGCCAGCAGGAAGACGAGCGGGAGGCGGAATGCCGGGATCCAGCGGATCCTGCTTTTCCTCGGGAAGGGGAGGCAGCTGCTGGCACTCACTGATCTCCTCCTCGATGGCGTGCACCAGGTGGATGTCGTACTGCGTCACCAGGGTGATGGCCAGGCCCTTCCGCCCTGGAACGGGGGAAAAACCGGGATTTGGGAATCCTGGCAGGCGGAGAGGGACGAATCCCAACCGTGCCCAACCCATCCGGCCCCGGGAGCCGCCCGGGGTGCTCAGAGAGGCCTTTCCACGCTGAAAACCCCGATAAAAGATCCTGTGGGGGTGATCCGTCCTCAGGGATCCCGGGGGAGGATCCCAGGACAGGATCCCAGTGGATCCCAGAGATCCCAGGGCAGGATCAGAGCGATCCCAGGGCAGGATCCCAGGGCAGGATCCCAGAGCAGGATCCCAGAGCAGGATCCGAGGGCAGGATCCCAGCAATCCCAGGGCAGGATCCCAGGGATCCCAGGGCAGGATCAGAGTGATCCCAGGGCAGGATCCCAGGGCAGGATCCCAGGGCAGGATCCCAGGGCAGGATCCCAGCAATCCCAGGGCAGGATCCCAGCAATCCCAGCAATCCCAGAGCAGGATCCCAGGATCCCAGAGATCCCAGGGCAGGATCCCAGGGCAGGATCCCAGCGATCCCAGGGCAGGATCCCAGCGATCCCAGAGATCCCAGAGCAGGATCCCAGAGATCCCAGAGATCCCAGGGCAGGATCCCCCCAGATCCCAGGGATCCCAGGGTGCCCCGGGACACGGCCCCGGGCAGGGCTCACCCGCGCGCGCCGTCCGCCCCACGCGGTGGATGTAGATCTTGGGCAGCCCCGGGGTGTTGTGGTTGATGACGAGCTGCACGGCGGGAATGTCCAAACCTCTGGAACACAGGGAAAATAAAAATAAAAAACTTATTTTATAAAAATAAACATTCCCAGTTCCGGGAAAAACACCCAGCTTCAACATCCAGCATAAAATTCCAGGGGGATTTGGGCTGGGAGGTTTAAAATTCCCGTCCAGCTCTCAGTGGGACCCTTCCTCTGTCCCAGGGAGCTCGGTTTAATTCCTGCTTCCTCCAAAATTCCCGGATTTTCATGGACGAAGTTTTTATTGGAGGACAAATCCCTGGAGCTGTTCCCTCCCTGGCAGCACCCACGGCTCGGGCTGGGAAGAGCCCGTCCCGCCCGGATTTGGGGATTTGCTCAGCCCAAAGCCGAGCCCCGGCCTCACCTGGCGGCCACGTCGGTGGCGATGAGGATCCTGAAAATGCTGGACTTGAACTTGGCCAGAGCTGCAAATCTCTGCTTCTGGGAGGGGGAAACTCCAGGTGAGGGGAGCGGGATCCGGCCGGGAGCGGCCCCCGGCACAGCCCTGCATCCCTCACCTGCTTCATCATGGAATGCAGAGCCACCGAGGGGAAGCGGAACCTCCTCAGCATCATGTTCAGCACCTGGCAGTCCCTGAGAGGGGAAAAAAATCCAGGAAAATCCTCAGGATGCACCGAGGGAACGGGACAGGACAAAACGGGGATCGTCCCGCTGAGCCAGGGCGCTGCAGCACGGCCTGGGGGAATTCCAGGGGTGGGAAAACTGGGACAGGCAGGGATTCTCTGTCCCAGGGTGTTCCAACACGGCCTGGGAGAATTCCAGAGGTGGGAAAACCGTCCCAGGATTTTCCAGCATGGCCTGGGACAATTCCAGAGGTGGGAAAACTGGGACAGGGTGTTCCAGCACGGCCTGGGGGAATTCCAGGGGTGAGAAAACTGTCCCAGGATTTTCCAGCATGGCCTGGGACAATTCCAGAGGTGGAAAAACCATCCCAGGATTTTCCAGCATGGCCTGGGAGAATTCCAGAGGTGGGAAAACTGGGACAGGGTGTTCCAACACGGCCTGGGAGAATTCCAGGGGTGGGAAAACCGTCCCAGGATTTTCCAACACGGCCTGGGACAATTCCAGAGGTGGAAAAACCATCCCAGGATTTTCCAGCATGGCCTGGACAATTCCAAGGGTGGGAAAAGCGGTCCAGGGCTGAGTGGCAGGGAAAGGGCCGGGGAAGGGGGGGAAAAGGCCGGGAAAAGGCCGGGAAAAGGCAGGAAAAGGCTGGGAAAAGGGCGGGAAAGGGCGGGAAAGGGGGGGAAAAGGCTGGGAAAAGGCTGGGAAAAGGGCGGGAAAAGGGCGGGAAAAGGCCGGGAAAAGGCTGGGAAAAGGCTGGGAAAAGGGCGGGAAAAGGGCGGGAAAAGGCCGGGAAAAGGCTGGGAAAAGGCTGGGAAAAGGCCGGGAAAAGGCAGGAAAAGGCTGGGAAAAGGGCGGGAAAGGGCGGGAAAGGGTGGGAAAAGGCTGGGAAAAGGCTGGGAAAAGGCTGGGAAAAGGCCGGGAAAAGGCAGGAAAAGGCTGGGAAAAGGGCAGGAAAGGGCGGGAAAGGGCGGGAAAAGGGCGGGAAAAGGCCGGGAAAAGGCTGGGAAAAGGCTGGGAAAAGGCTGGGAAAAGGCTGGGAAAAGGCCGGGAAAAGGCAGGAAAAGGCTGGGAAAAGGGCGGGAAAGGGCGGGAAAGGGTGGGAAAAGGCTGGGAAAAGGCTGGGAAAAGGCTGGGAAAAGGGCGGGAAAAGGGCGGGAAAAGGCCGGGAAAAGGTGGGAAAAGGCGGGAAAAGGCCTCACTTGCAGGTTTTGGTGAAGATGATGATGGCCCAGTCCTCGTGCTGCTGCTGGAAGCTCTGCACCAGCTGCACCAGGTACGCGTCCTTCACCGCCTCGGGCACCAGCACGTACCGCTGCTCCAGCTGCTCCACCGTCCTCACCCTCGGGACAGCCAAATCCCGGCATTACCCAGCCTGCAAAAACCTCCGGGATCGCCCCAGCTTTTCCCTGGCCGCCCTTCCCGTGAGGAAATTCCCGCTGTTCTCCCACCCGCAGCTCCCTCGGGCCGTTCCCTCCTGTCCCGGTGTCCCCTGGGACCCCCCTGGCTGTCCCCTCCTGCCAGGGACGTGTGGACATTGGGAATGTCCCGCCTGATCCCGCTTTTCTCCAGCCTGAGCCCCTTCACAGCCCCCCCAGGGATCCTCCAGACCATTCCCAGCTCCCTCA